CAATAATCTGTGGTAAAGAAATGTATAGCTTTTGTCATATCCTTCGGACCTTGGTCTTGCTGTGCACACTCATCTTGAGAAGACTATGTGACGAGGTACAGTATGCCTTTCAATAATCTGTGGCAGTCGGTGTAATCCGTTCTGTATTTTGCAAGGTCATGGTTATTATATTTTTCATATAGGAAATAGTAACATAGTTACACATTTTGGACAGTAAATAGAAAATTGTATTTTAATCATAAGTTTTTATGATTGTATTTTAATCATACTTTATATAACATCACACCACATCTTGGCATGTGTAATTTTACGTCATATAATGATTATGGTTGCAATGAGCAGCTGCTGCTCAAGTGATATGTTGGTTCATATGTAAATTAAAGATTATACAATAATGTTAAAGATACTGAAGAATGTGATGTTTGACTGACCTTGCAGTAATAAAATATACTTAAGCCGTACAAAAAGCAATCTATGGTGACCATATTTAATGAAAAAATGCTCACTGCATTTTCACTAGTTTGGCCAACGCATTTCTGTGTACTAGTTTGAAGTTCATATGTGGTATGTTACCCTTTCTGTTGCGACCTAAATGGGGAATTAAAGAAACTATCTTTACTGATATATAATTGAAGTAGCACGGAGCAGTAAAATGATAATGTCTGAAGTGAGTGGGTAACTTTACAGGGGTAATATGGATGGGATCAAATTTATTTATTTATTTATTTATTGAACATCTTCTGCCGTGTCAACATCTAAGGTCATTAGTGTCGTTTACAAAATATAGCAATAGGGTGAGGCTTAGGGACAAAGCCTCCAGGTAAGAAAAGATCACCCAAAATTATAATAAAATATTATGACAGAAAGGTACAAATGAGTTCACAATTATGGCAAAATATGTTACATGTCAAAGGTTGTTGAGAGCTGTAGGGTACTATAGTAGTGAAAAGGGTAAAGAGAGATTAGCAAGTAGAATATAAAGGCTGTTCAGAATGGACACAAAGCCGGTCTTTTATCCTTTCAGTATGGCTCTCATACTTTAGGATGTGGACAGATGAAAAGGAGGAAAAGGAAAGGTGGAGAAAAAAAGACCATGCAAAATTAGTTGAGGCGAGGGCTGACACCCAAAGCAGGGGTGACCCCCACATAGGGCCTCAGTCCCCATCTCTTAAGCCCCCACAACAACAATGGGCATGGAATTGGGGGGGGGAGCAGATATGGTAACATTTTCATTGTCATCATACTGATGGGAACATCCAAGATTATCATGATTAAAACAAATAATGTATCAAATTAATTTGAAAATTGGCCATTTACAAAAAGAATGTCAAAATTTAGGGTATATTAATTGTAATCAAGGCAGTGCTGATGAGCTGGCCAAATGTTAGTTTCCTGTGTGTGTGAGCTCAAACAATTTTTTCTCTCCACTCCCGAATCCGATGGAATCAAAACTTGCATTGTTTCAATGACTCAGTTGTATTTCGAGTCTTAGAATTCTTTGTTCATTGCATAGACTGACTGGAAGTTGTACAAGTATAATCAGCTTAATGCTTGAACTCCCAAGTACAATATCATAACTTGGGTGCCATAGCAGTGGAACACACATTGTGTCTTCAACATTCCTGAGATCTGTGACATATTTGCAACATAGTTACAGGAAATATTCGGGGAACATTGAAGGCTGAAGCTCTGGACCTGCACTCATATCACCACTGTAATCAGGACAGGCCTTAGGCACATCCAGGATAATCAGGTTCACATACTTTATATAATAAACAAAAATCTGTAATATATACAATTCTTAGCCATTATACTACCTCTGACATTTAACACTCTTTATCGTAAAGGTTAACTCGTATACCACAATACTTTACAGTAGTGCTATATGACCTTGGATGTCTAGCGCATTTATTTGTTTCAACCATTAATTGTTAGCCATTATATGATGTACAATATTTATTTATTCATTTATAGAAAATTTTCTACCATGTCAACATCTAAAGTCATTATCAGTGTATACAAAATATAGTACTAGAGTGAGGCTTGGGGGCAAAGCCCTCAGGTAAGGAAAGGTTATGCTGCTTTATGACAATGTGAAGTTTAAGAATCAGTTAACAGTTGGACAAAATATGTTAGATGTCAAAGGTTGTAGTGAAAAGGGTAAAAAGGGATGTTAGATGTCAAAGGTTGTAAGTAATAATAGCTAGAACATAAATGTGCTAGACATCACTATGCACTATGGTACTGGATTGTGTTGGGAAGGTTTTTTAAAGTTCTTTATTAGAGTTAAAATGTTAAATTTCGACGGTCATTTAATGCATGATAATATAGTATTTAAAGGAGTAAAAAGAGAGGGTAGATTGGGCAGGATAGGTATTGATAAAAAGAGGAAGGGTTAAGGGCAGTGGATGGTTAGATCAAATGAAGGGAGGGAAGGTTTGGGTAGAAAGAGAAAGAATTCAGAGATGAGGAAAGGATGAATGGGAAAGAAGAGCGTCCATACGAACAGGGAAAGGGACAGGTAAACGTGGAGAGGAAGAGAAGATAGGGAAGTGGTTGAAGGACAGTTAGCTTGGAGAGGAAAATTGGTGAAAGCGAGCATAGCTTCATAGGGACAGAAGAGCACGATGTCTAGAAAGGGATGGTAGTCTTGATTCAGCGTATAGGCTCTCAACTGGAGAGGATCCTATGGTGAGTTGGATCAAGGAGAGACAGAAGAGAGGCAGAGGCAGAAGAATATAAGTGACAACTATAGTCAAGGGTGGAAAGGATTAGGGTAATGTGGAGACAAAGAAGTGTTTTGTGGTCTGATCCCCAGGATAGGTGAGAGAGTGTTTGTAGTAGTCGGAGGCAATGGCAGGCTTTTTCTTTAATGGAAAGGATATGATTTCGCCAAGATAGTTTGGAGTCAAAAATAACTCCAAGAAACTTGCTGGAAGATCGGGATTG